GCCGAATGTGTGTCTCGTGGTGTGCCATCACTATAAGGGATTAGAGTATACTAAACTTTACACATTATATAGACTACACTAACATGTCGTTTAGGCGGTTCGTTTAATTATTATACATGATGTACGTTTTTTAGGGGTGGTTAATCAAAGTGTTCCAAAACGCGAAATAAATTCCTTGACGACCTAATATTTAGTTGATAAGTTATATATATATATTCAAAAACAAAAAAAAACATAATACGTTCTTCTAGAAAAAGTAAGCAGAGGTATAATTAATGAAGATTTTTTTTCCACTGTAACGAAATACATGAAAAAAATTTCGCTGGTAATTTATCACCCTGAAAGTCTTTAAGTGGAGAGAGATGTAACAGACCTGATGCTGAACAAAGAGATGCTTTACCACGATCTTCCGTTGTTGTTAAAAAAAAACAGCTTCTAAGATGATTCAATTTTATCTAACTCTTTAGATACAGCTGGTTAACTCTCAATTATTCATAAAGTGTCATCAATTACCGAACACATGCTCATGATATATGTCGAAGTATAAATTTTATTGTATACAGTAATTTCAAGAGAAATTATCTAAAAGAAATACTAATCATCTTTAAATTGTTATCATCATCGTTGTATGATGTAACACGGATGTTATCTTTTAGATTTCTCCTGTATCCTTAACATACACATCAAAATAACCAATCATGTTTAATATACAACAATCATAGCTCATCATGTCTTTATTAAAATTTACTTATTAAGCCTAACAGCAGTCTTTATATTCAGTAAAGATTAGTTATTAAATACCAGGTAATGCTACTTATATAAGAGAAGAAACCACCTGAAAAAAAGAGAATTACCTGAGTTAAGTATGATAGAATACGCGTGCAGATGTATATTAACTGAAAAAGCTGACCTTTAAAAATTTATATCTTTCACAAATGTTGAATCAACTGGCTAATTATATCATATTGAATGTTTGGTTTAAAGACTATGTTGCTATGTATCTACCATCTACGATTTATCATTCTTTATTCTGTGTTTTGTAATGTACAGCTAGAGAGAGAAAAAAAATTAATTGTAACTGATTATCTACTTTTACCTTTTCAAACATAATTGTATCATATTCCGTAAAACTAAACAATGCGTTGTATAAAGTGTAAAGGTTTATGAAAATCAAAGTCACTTTTCATATATATATGTGTGTGTGTATATATATGTATGTTTGTGTTATGCATATATAACTGCAGGAAAATTTACCCACTCAAAATCACGTATAATGAAGAATATTTTACATAGAAGTGCTTATCGATTTCACTAAAGAGTGGATTTTAGAGGCCTTTCGAAAGTGAAAAGTTGAAATAATTTAACTCTGACTAATTTCCTTACTGTCAGATTGTGGCGATTGGACACCAGTCGTTTTTGTTCTTAGTAGTCTATATGACCACCGAAGTTCAATTACCCATAGTGAACATAGCCAAGATAACCAGCTCATGAGGTCTGGCATGACCTAGTGGTTGGGGCGTTATAATATAACGATCAATCCAACATTTCGTTTGTAACAGAGTAGCTCAAGAGTTGACTGCGGTGGTGTGGATTAGATTTCTTCGCTCTAGTCTATCACATTTAAATTAGGGACGGTTAGCTACCCTCGAGTAGTTTAGCGCGATAATTCAACAAAAGCCAAACAAACACTATATGATCATTTAACTTGAATTACTAATTAGTTACTTTTTAACAAGGCATGACTGGTGTAACCAAATGTCTAATGCAAAGTCTTAAGACAA